CCTAAAAGAGGCCAAAACCTATAAGGGGGGGGGGGGGGGGGGGGGGGGGGGGTATCACTGACTGACTACCCCAATCCACGTTCCAGAGGTCTCCTGAATACGAAAAAGCAGTGTACCACGAGACGAAGGCGACTGGACTAGATTGGACTCACCGGAACAACTCCAACACGACCGGAGGGCTGGCGAGCACCCTGTGGATGGCCTCCAGGGAAAGCACGGCCGCCCACGATACGCAACCCCCCGCTCCGTCGTCGTCAACCGGAGAGAAACCGATAGCACCGCCTCCTCCGTCTCGCCCCCCTCCTTTTGGGTGCCATGGGTGGCACGTGGCACATGACATGTTGTCGCCACACGATGAACAGAGTCAAGGAGTAGCACATGGCATGTTGTCGGCACACGATTAACAGAAGCAACAGGAGTGGCACATGACATATTGTCGCCACACCATGAGCAGAGCCAACAGGAGTAGCACATGACATGTCCGTGTCGTCGTCACAAAATGAACATAATCAACAGCAGCGGTGGCGGCGGCAGCAGTAGACGACAACGAACGAAAATGTACCTACGTGCATGTTTTAAGTGCAAGATGGATAGATATCATACCAAAGTGTGGCAAACGACGTACTACAACAGGTACCCCTAGTATAATAGTGTATTCCACGCTACCTGCTTGTAGCATTTCTACATGTCGACACAAAGATGGCGTGCCCCCTCCCCCCCTCCCTCCCCCCCCCCCGGGGGGGTGAATTTGGACCGCCGAGGTAGCAACAGCAAGATAGGAGCCGAAAAATAGGCTTTCTTCAAATTCTGCATCAGGGTACAGTTCTCGACACGGCATCGAGACACTGTTAACGGCACCGGTATCGGCTTGGTGATGTGGGGCGAGGCCAAGTCATCAAGCACCGGGGCCGTGCATGTGTGTGGGACGTTGCGTGTTCTAGGCTGTGCACATAAACCAAGGCACCCTAACTTGAGCTTATCCACTCTTGGCACTAAAACATGGCAGTTTGTGCAGAGCTGGGTTATAGGTCGAAAGAGCGATCGACGGTTTTCAGTAACGTCAGGTACAGCAGTATCTAGTCTTTTGTTCACCTGGATGATGATGATCGACCTCGTTGCCGAGACCCGTGCCGAGCGACCCGAGCATGGTGGACAAAATCGCGTGGGCCTGGGCGGAAGAGATCGATCGCGTAGGTGTGTTGGGAGGGAGTGTGTGAGAGACACACACCACACAGGGAGAGACAGAGAGAGAAAGCGAGGAAGGGAGAGAGACAGGATGGGAGGGAGGGAGGGAGAGAGGAAGGGACGAAGGGAGGGAGAAAGATGTTGAACCCAATCTCTACAAAACATACAACACGCAGCCCTTTCGAAAACCGCTACTGCGCGCCACACAGAAAAAAATATCAGGTAACGAGAGCGCCGCAGCCGGGAAGGAAGAACAAAAAAGACGAAAAAAGAAGAAGGATGCCCATGAAGAGAGATCACGGACCAAATCCCGAACAAGCCTCTCTCACATACAGGCTATGTATGAATGAAAACAAGAAGGTTCCACCGCATTTGCAAAAGAGAACATGCACCAAATCACACACATGCTACATACTGCTGCAGTGCGCCGGACGCCCCAAGACAACCAACCAATAGGAGAGCCGGAGTCGACCTCACCACCTCACCTCATTCGGAAGGAGATCCCCATACGTGACCGTCAGCGTGCTAGCCGCCCTCAACAGCCGCACCAGCAACGGGAAGTCCATCCGACGCCTGCGCTCGTCGCGCGCGCGCCGCCCCCGGCAAGGGCAAAGGACGGAGCGTTGCGAAGCGAAAACGTCGAGAGAGACGTTGGCAACGGTAACTACAAAAAAAAAGGTGCCATGCTCGTTTTGCTTCTTGGTTGGGTCGGCGTGCCCGCTGACGGGTTCAGTCTAGTTGTGCCCCCTGGTTTGACCTAGCGGCAAGCTGGATGTGTTGTTGCTCGCGTTGGGCCTCTGGGGTTGGTCGCGAACTTGAGCTGCTGCCTGAGGCCTTGGCGTTGGTCATTTGGCTTCCATCAAGAATGCGCGCAGTATTTGAGGCGCCGGGCCTCGCGTTGCGCTGCAGTGAAATCGATTCCATCGGGTACATTCGAGACACCACACTTGCCTTGATGTTCGTGGACTGCTTACGCTACGATCCAACGTCTTCCACCAAAATCTTGCTTCGATGTTCTTGGACTGCTTACGCTACGATCTACACACCTAAAGAGCGACAGGTTAGGGCTGGGGGCATAAGGCTACACTGCTGCGAGTCTCAAGGAGAGCCTGCACAGCTAGAGGGCTAAGCCTAAGCCTAACCAGCCCTGATTCAAAAGTAAAAGTTATAGATAGTGTCATCACTTCTCACCGGAGGATCTGCAGTATGAGCGGGCACACCTCCTGTGACAGCAACCGCCTGAGGACTTTAAACCTTCTAAACAAGATCGGCTGCTGCGATAGCACCTGCTCCCGCCCGGCGTAGGGAAGTAGAGAGGGGGTCCCGCCGGTGGAAACGAAAATGGGGGGGGAGGGGGGGGGGAGGCGTCACAACCATGAAAATTAAGGTTTGTCACCTGAGACATACCGTAGCTCAATCAACGAACCACTGCTGTGTCACCGCAAGATTTCTATAGATAAGACCGAAACTTCAAACCTGTCCACATACACACATTGCCGAGCGTACAACACAATGCTGCGCATGCAACCTTCAGGGCTATGTGGAGTATTGAGCGAGCAAAATCAGCCAAGGAGATACGGGGGAGGGGGGGGGGGGTATCCTCCATCACCAACGGTGCCCCCCCCCCCCCCAAATTTTTAACCCAAAAAACCCCTTTTCTTTTTCCTAACTTCCCCCCTAACCCTTTTTTTTCCCCCACCACAAAAATCCCCCCCCCCCCCTCCCCCCCTTTACCAAAACCCCCCCTTTTTTCAAAAAAAAAAAACCCTCCCCCCAATTCCAACCCCCCCCATTTTTTAAACCCCCCCTTTTCCCCCCACTTTCCCCCCAAAAAACCCCACCCCCCGGCCCCCTTTAACCCCCGCCCCTTCCCCCCCCCCCAAAACCCCCCCCAATCCTTAAAAAACACCCAGGAACCCCCCCCCCCGGGAA